ACGGCCCACGGTCACGGCACGATTCAGGCGATTCTACAAGCTGCATCTGACTATGGTCAGATTGAGCTAAAAATTAGGCAAGTCTAGCGGCTGGCTTAGTTAAAATACATACTCACTGTGATCATGGGTGAGGTAATGTTAGGACCCCAGCAAAAACTCTGAGCAAATTCACCACAATGAGCATGGCTAGACGTCGCTTTTTCCGATCAAGGACTTGGAAGCTGTTAGGGATAGGGTACATCACACTATTGGCCCTGTGAAATGACGTTCACTTTTCAATCTCCAAACCTTCATCCCAATTATCCCAATGGATGCTGGTTATTACTGGGGAGTGGTGTGACTGGTTGTTCGGTGGGTGGTGGGGTATTACCAATACATGTCAACAGAATTGGCTGTGTCGGTACCTTTGTGATTGTCGTGCGCAGGACGAAAAACGTAAATATAAAATCAGAAAGTGACATAAACATTATATCTTTAACGTACTATAGGCTATAGTTCCTAATTAGTCTAGAATGGTTTATTAAAAATATAAATCGAGGGTACAGGTACCGGTGCGGTCGAGATGGGACAACGTTTACTGCATGTGTAGCCTTACCTAAACTGTTACAGAGTCACAGTTGACAGTTGTGCCTGTACTGTGACCTTGCAGGATGTATACAGTTGCTGTATATGCCCGCCGCCACAGAACTCACTCCATTTCATACGCAGTATCATGACCATCAGTTCATTTATAAAGCCACTCGTTATTTTCTCTCTTAATGCAGTCCCTCCGTACGCCACCGGATCTTTAATGTTATTTGCACAAACTTGAGCTTCTGCTAGTACTAGTTAGTACGCTAGTAAGTTAGTGTGTGTCAGCAGTTACTTTTCTTTCTATTTAATCAGACTTTTTGTTCTATCTGCGTCTTCGATATGGTCCTTGTCTTTGAATGAGTAATCTGTATGAGGTTATAAGCCTTATAACGGTAGCAACGGCTAGTATTATCGGTGTATACTTTATGTACCCTCAATAAAAGCTCGTCCCAACTGGCAACATTTTGCTTAGCTATTGGCTCCTTGCTTACCTTTGCTTCATGGCTTTTGGGAATATCATTTTTTCCTTACGTTCAAAAATTCACCAGGTTTCTACCTAGCTTTCGTACTATACTCGCTACACCTGTTTGCAGCAGTCCAGTGAGACATCCACGGGCACAATCCTCGACATACAATTATTGTATATCCTAAACTGAAGTTATAATAAACTACTACTCAAGGCCGCCTAGCGTGTTTCCCGCATACGCAGAACTGATTATGGGAGAGTGCTACTGTCGAAGGTGACATGAATACCAGGCGTATATTTTCGACATCGCGGCGGGCTCTGAGAGCATTGCTTGTATTGTGCGTGAGTGGGCGTCGCGTGGCCCGGTGGGCGCCTGGCCGCTGGCTGGAAGAGACGAGAGAGGAGAGAGGCGTGTCAGTGCGTAGCTTACGATTTTTTTTTTTCAGGCGGAGGATGAGACGGCACCGTGTAGGGAGGGGGAGAGACTTTGAGAGATTCGTTTTGATGAGGGCGACGAGGAGGGGGAGAGAGATATTTAAACGTTTTTTTCTGTGTTGTGATGTGATTCTGTTTACGAGACGGCAGATGTTGTGTTAGATTGTGTGATTATGGCAATTGGTTGTCGCAGAAGCTGAGAGATAGGAAAGTCGAGAGTTGGTGTAGGGGGCACTTATCTGGGGGCACAAAAGAAAGTGTAGGGAGGAGGAGGAGGGGGGGGGTCATGCGATGAGAACGATGAGCAATAGCGCCGGCGAGGGCCCCCCAAGCGAGGTGGGGACTGAACGCATGCGGGTGTTTGTGTGGCGGGGGTCATGTATTACGCGTGCGCGGCGGGCTGCGTCGGCGGTGTGTGTGGTGGTGTGCGGGCTGGCGGGCGTGCGGGGGGCGGGCGGGTGGAATCTGTGTGGTTGGTGGTATGTGTTTGCCATGTGTCGTGTGCTGTGTGCGTGTGCGTGTGCTGTGTGTATATGTGTGTGTGCGTGAGTGCGTGCGTGCGCTGCCGTGTGCGTCCGTGCCGCTTTGCGTGCGTGTCGTGTGTGGTGTGTGTGTGTGTGTGTGTGCGCCTGCTGTGCTTGATGTGTTGTGTGTGTGTGTGTTGCATTGTGTGTGTGTGTTTGATGTGTTGTGTGTGGTGTCGTGTGTGGGTCGCTGGGGCGTGGGTTTTGTGTGCGGTGTCGGGCCGCGGTGGGTGTGGTGGGTGTACGTGGGTGCCGTGTGGGGTCTGGTGGTGCGTGCCGTGGCGTGGCGGGGGGGTGGGGTTGCGCCGAGCCGCCCGGGTGGGTGCTGTGTGGTGTGTGTGGTGTCGTGTGTGTGTGTGTGTGTGTGTGTACATGGCGACATCTAGGAGACGTTGAGGTCATGTATCGCGCGACAAATAACGAAATACTGTGTAAAAGAAACTGCGGGTAGTTGACGCAGGTGTTGCAACCTAGCGACATCTATCGGCCGTCGTCGGACGTAAAACATTTATATTTCTACATACATAGCGATATCTCATTGACCTATGGTCTTGACCTATAAACCTATGACCTATGAACCTATGAACCTATGACATATGTCATATGACCTATGAACCTACCTAGAATAAATATCTGTCTATATAATTTTATGGTTATATATGGTACTCGCACTAGAACCAGTGATTGCTATGGAAACGAATTCGTAGTGTAGCAGACGGTACCGTAAGGCAGACGGGCCACAGGGGGCGTAAAAGGTTTTACATGGACGTACAAGTAAAAGCCATTTTATTGTACGCCATGACTGTAATTGATAGTTACAATTGATAACATTTAATATAATACAATAAATTTTAATAAATTAATTATGAAAACGGTGTTGCCGATTATATTGATAACATGTGACATTATGTAGCATGCTCATCACTTGTGATATATTCCATATCAAGAGCTAATAATAATAGGTAATATTAGCTATTGTCGGATCACCACCAAAATGTAATCAATTATAAGTTACCCTATTTCTGACCTATCCTGGAAATTTTATTAATTAATTAATTAATTAATTAATTAATTGGATCCGGATTACCACCAAAATGTAATTAATTCTAAGTTACCCCATTTCTGACCTATCCTGAAATTTTTATTAATTAATGAATGAATGAATGAATTAATTAATTGGATCCGGATCACCACCAAAATCTCATCAATTCTAAGTTAGCCCATTTCTGACGTATCCTGAAAATTTTATGACAATCCGTCCATAACTTTTTCAGTTAGGCTTAACCTGTTATTGTATCCAGGCAGCGGTGTCCGGACGCCGGCGGCCGGCGGGCGTGGTGGCGGGTGCCAATCAGGCCAATCAAGCGATAGCCGTACAGTCGAAATCCCCACAAAACCCACAAAGACCAACACTCAAGACAACACGCCGTCTGTGAAAACATTTAACCTCCGCCAGAGCCCCTGGTGGGAACATGGATACATAGATTACACTACCGTAATAGGATATTAATAGCTCTTTGGTCATAATATATAGGAAAGTTATTGTACTAATATAGTCAGTACAGGAAATATGTGCATGCGCGCAAAGTAGTGCCCTGGCGGGGGGGGGGGACGTGGCTTCTCAACTGGAAATTGGCAGAAAATTAAGGCCGTCGAAGATACTTATGCTTTGGCAGCTCGACGTGCGCACCGATCGTCCGGCAAGGACCCCTGAATTCCCTGTATATAAATCTAGGCATAACGCGGAACCAAGGGCGTGATGCTACGAGAAAAGTGAATACTATAGATCGGATGTTATCATGCACACATGCTGGCAGCCCGCCCGGCTCCATTTGGACCACATAAAAAAGGCCGAAGAAAATGATCCTAGTAGTCAACGGCGACCAACGTCTGAGGCCCAATTCCCTATATATTAATATAGGCATAACGTGGAACCAAGGGTGAGGACGGGACGGGATGAAGTAGGAGTTTTGCACCCTACAGGTTAGGGCGCTCTCCGATTTATAAACACAGGTCTCCTGATAATAATTTATTACAGAAATCTATTCTGTGATACCCCCTTACCATATTAAATGTATATTTACCAAAAAATACATCTCTTCTGGTCAGATATTGCGCATGCGCTATCACACTAACGTAGACAGATTGTGTACTGACAGGTATAGGCAGCGGGGACCATACAGACAAGGTTTTCTTCTTATTGGTTAGGGGGTATCCCAGCATAGATTTCTGTAATAAATTATTTTCAGTAGACCTGTTTATATAATTAGGATAGCGTTTTATCGTGGTATTTGTGCGGTCTCGGGGCCGTTTTAAAATGACGATGCTTTCGTTCTAAATTCGAATTCGTCGGTTGCTTCCTCTCTTATAAACTTCTAGATATGATAAGCAATGTGAATATAAGGCCCCTACATTTTATTAAATGCCCTTGTTATTTTATCCGTGCTGACTGGTATATAGTTTAACTCACTCTTCAGTGTGTTTAAGAGATGGAACGTGAGAGAGAGAGAATTGTAAACGATGGCATGATAGCTGTGTGTTTAGGGGAAACTGAACAGGCGTGTTGGCAACTACACGACGATCTAATGACAGACATACCGCGAAACTTTCTGTGTTAGGATGATTTAGGATTTTGTTATTTTACATCTGTAGTATTATTAATATATACAGACAGAAATTGACAAAATGATGAAAATGTCTTTATTTTACATCAGTAAAAATTGTAATGAGACAAGAAATGACAAAGGAATATTATACTGCGCTATACGTTTCACCTTTTAGCATCATACAATAAATCGCACATACACGAAAATGATGTTGTTTATTATTATGAATTAATTAACGCATATCAAATTCATAATTCGGCACAGCATAGATTTAGTATAGCTGACATAGCAAGTAGCAAGACTGTCAAAAAATAAATAATAATTCTTTTCACGCAAATTTGCACGATGCAACTTGATATTTAGAAATGCAGAGTACAGATTCAATGCGACCTCTTCCCTGCACCACCGAATACACATGACCTACGACCTGCGTGTGGTGGAATGCTCTTATTATTTCACATACTATTATATGTAATTATACGTGTGCACACATATAACTTACTTCACCATATACAAGAAGCATTCATATTGGTGCACACAACATATAGAAGCGATCATCGCTTAAAAAAGTCGGTCAGCGTTTTCTGCCCATGCAAGAGGGCCACTTGTTTTCGTCTCTTACAAGCACCTGGGTTTTTATGCTGCTTGATTTCTTGCTCTGCAGTTCTCTCAATAGGCAGGGGACGTTTAGCCCTGTTTTGGCCATTACGCACCCTCTTATTGCCTGCCTTGCTGGAAACTGGTGTGGCTGTGGAAAACAGATAAATTTAACCGTAATTAGATTGTCACGAATACCATCAATCAAAATAATTATTATTATAATAAATTATTGATCTTATGATGTGAAAAGCTAAGCATCATCGCATGATATATCGTGTATTCCTGAGAGAAGTTTGGCAATCGTTGTACGTTAAATCTGTAATCGTCGTTGACCAATCACCTGACGCAGTAATGGCAATTTCACCAGCGCTTAATTCCGTCTCCGCATCGTTTCTCCTAGGGCGCCCTCTGGTGGCGTCCGAGTTCAGCCTAGATGCACCAACGTTCTTGGGCGTTGCTCTGCTGACTAGTGTACTGTAGGAACATACACACGATCACACACCTACATGCCTATCTAACCACAGCATCAATTAGCACAGGTGACCAGTGAATCCCAGCAGAAGCGCTCGCCTTGCTTTAACACATATACAGCACACAAAAAGTGCCCTACTGTCAATCCCGTACGTATAGGTCACTCAAGGGTTAACCGAAAGCCTTCTTTATAGACAGGTGTCCGTTCTATAGGGATGGTTTCACTGTATAACTGCCACACAAGGAAATCTTTTACAGACAGACGTTGGCTTTGTATAGATGACTGCTACGACAGGTTTAACCGTATATGTATGCAGCAGGAAGTTCTGTACCTGGAAGTTTCGCAAACTCCGGGCGATCGGAGAAGGTGGATCTCCTCTATTGCGTCCTTTTGAGTGAAGCCAGCGTCTATAGCAGGTTCTGCCCATGTCAGACATGAACCGTATCTCTGAGGTCTGGTGATCTAAAACATATCATTGAAAAACATCAACGTTTAAACACAAATATTTAAACAAATGGTTTAATAATTTTATATAATAGTTTTATAATTTAATAAAGTAGTTTATAACTTCCATTAAAAATCTGTGGATGAACCCTTTTTTTTTATCTAAAAGAGGATTTATTACAAAAACCTGACTATTTATTCAAACTAATTAGAGACTTAACAACAGTGATGCTATTCCAAAATGCGATAGCTTGTGCTTTTTTATATTGAAGACTTGGATACATCTACTTTAACCAGAAATACATTGTCAGCCCTATGTAGGAAACGTTATGCAGGGGAGGATAACTGGAGACGGTGACAATTTCTAAATAAACCAGGACTGCCAGGTTGGAAGTAAATACTTGGGCAAACCAGAGGAGGCTTACATGCAGACGCACACGCACACATCGCACGTTTACGCTTACACGTACGGAGGGGTTTTACGCGGAATTAGATCTAGAATTAATGGAAAAAGTAAAGGAGGAAACAAACCAGGAACAGACAGCTAGTAGTTAGTACCGGGACTGGCCCCAGGATATGCACATGCCGGTGATAACGGTGACGCGAAAGTGTCTGCGCAAGATTACCAACCGGAGATTACCAGATTACCAACCGCAAGATTACCAGATTGTAACTAAGCTTACATCCGGGAGGCCCTTACACAAAGATTTGCAACAGAGTCAGTTAAATAAAAATGAAAATAGGATCTGCTATCACTCGAAAATCGTAAGACTGAATATATATATATATATATATATATATATATATATATATATATATATACTATAATAATAACTAATATAATATAATATAATAATAATAATAATATAATATAATATATATATATATATA